TGGTACTTGGCTTCGGACAACGGACCGTTGAGTTAGCGTGTTGCAGTGCAGGTAATTTAGGTTAGGTGTGCGTACCTAATTGTAGCTACATTATGTAATTACATCGGAGACAAAGACGATTTTCTCCACAGTGGTCGACCCGTTTGTTCTTTTATCGCACTAGCTCACACTGATAATTTTTTATTTTAGTAATAGTATAATTATAACTGTTTATTGTTGGGCTGCAGCCCATCGGTAAACGAACCGTAAAGGTCAATAAAGAGGTGGACCAATTGTACCCAATTGTTATGGCACATTGACAGTGCAAACTTCCCTGCTTTAGTACTGAGAAGTGCAGAGGGTCGTACCTTTTAGGCAGTGTACAAGTGCCAGAACTGCACTATAGCCCAACTAGATGTAACCCTACTTCCTATTCGTTCGCTTCCGTGACATACTATGTGTATCCGTGTCTCCATTTAAGTTTGAACCGCATGTACATTGCTGCTAATGTACCATACGGCTCTTGAACATAGTTACGAATGTCGTGCTCTGTTATGCACTACTCGTTATTGTACAGTTAGAATGACCACTGATACCGCGTCTATTTCGATCATTGGGCGGGGGAATTTCTTCGCCTGAAACTTGCTGTATAAATTCTTGCTCCGGTATTTGTATGCAGCGTAGTTCTCGGTATTCATGGTATGCGCCACAGATATTGCGGTTTTGTCGTTTAATATTGTAAACACAGATAGGTGACACGTTTGCAGTAGCAAGACCATACCTATCTCGTAATATCTAATCCTCTCTGACGCCAAATCTGCTAAGAAGTGATAGGCTACACAAATAACTTACAGAGGCGCCTCCGTTTACACGCCGGCCCGATGTCACATAGTCGCCTGTGTTTGCCTACATATATTCACGCTCCTGTGATACATTTGGAGCAGATATCTGAGACGTGTTCACCAAGCGTAGACGACAACGAAATAACGAAATACTTACACTTTGTCTCTTGATAGAAGAACTCATTTTCACTAACTTATATTATTCCTTTCATTTAAACAACGAGCAGTTTACATTTAAACGAAATATTTTACACCACAGAGTGCGAAACAATTTCACAAAGTGTGAAACATATAGACAGATAACGTGGAGAGTCGGTGGTATTCGGTCTTGTTGTCCTCGTAAAAAACCCAATAAATAGAACTTGGTAATTGTGAAGTTGTACACTTAACTTCGTGACCGGGAGACCTATCTTGGGTTAAATTCGGGCCGGTGTGCTCCTGCTATTGCAGGCATAGACGGTGTCAAGTGATAGTCTATCTGCCAAGCCGGTGTGCTCCGGGCTGTACTTTCGCGTATTTTGCTATTGCTATTGCCCAGGTTTCCACCCATCTAAACGTTTGCTTTTGCGAGACCATTGCAACTTCGTTATCGGGACGAAGAGGGGTGGAGCAGGACGAGTTCTCTAGTCGACGACCCGACAATGCCGGCAGGTGTGATGGCGAAGTTTTTTTCGAACCTCGACCCGCACAGACTTCGAACCCCTAAATAAGCTCGTGGCGCTGGTTGTTGGTTAGTTGTACTTACAGGCGGGGCCTGTATGTTTGTTTTTGGGGCCAAAAATGGGTTCAAAGTGAACTCTTCAACTACAACCGTAGTTATATATTTAAAAACACGTTAGAAGGCCTCACGAAATACTTTAATGCAAATTAAAATGTAAATGTGAAGGAATGTGTGTATAACAAAATACATCGGTGATAAACGAAACCGGAAACTGACTAGGCAAGATCCTCAGCTCGATGATTGGATGGTTTAGCCGCAATGCATGCTGGGATTTGGTGTTTATGTGATGTGAATTCTGAAAACGTTTTTTAAAAATAAAATAATACTTTATTCCGAGTGTGCTTGCTTTTCTCTTTGAAAGTCATCATATAACGGCATTGTAATACACGGTTCGGCTGCATTAAATATTACATATCTGCCGTAGTTCTCTATTTATAGAGCCCTGCTGAGAAGACTTCTAGACAAACAGGAGAACTGCCGCCAAAACTGAAAACGTGACGTGAGTCATAAATATATAAGCAATTAAACAACATCTTACATTTATTTTCACACAATACGTCTCCTTGCAGTATCAACACTAATTCGGCTGACTTTTATATTTGATCCAATTGGCTAAATTTACACCATAACGGTGCAGAGCTGATAGAAAGGGACACCTGGTGGTTAAAGCACGTTATTGAATTGTATTATTTTATTATTAGATATTAATAGGAGGATGTGCAAAACAGACAAACTAATAAGGCTTAATTTAAACATTAAAGAGTACAAGGTTAAGGTCTTCTTTGAATAAGAAAAAAGCTTTGGGGGTATAGAAGAAGAATATGAAGGGATAAAACACTCTTTAATGGTCACACATGCAGAGCACACAGCACACAGAGTGACATTTGTATCTACAGATAAATATTAAGCCTGACAAAGTACTTAACGTCTAATATATTGCTTTCCTGCAATATTAACTGTTTAAGCATTTATTTGTTTATTATTTGTTTAATATTAAACTGATATTATACATATGTATTATACTCTTATAAGATGTATGTAGATAGTATAAGAAATGTGCAGAATGACAGTTTAATGTTGGAGGTACACACACATATTGATAGATGTCTTATAATGCACTGTTGAGGAACCTGCGACCCAAATTTTTCATTCATTGCATAACTACACCGTAGTTGTGTATAATATGATATGTCAATAAACCTTAGAAAATCTTGAAATCTTGAAAGGGATATGCAAAATAGTCATTATATACAGTCTTCAATTAACTATTAGTAGAGAATAACGAGTAATGAATATACTTTATAGGGATCCTATTAATATCTAATAATAAAAATAATGAAATTCAATAACATGCTTTAACCACTAGGTGTCCCTTTATATCAGCTGTGCACCGTTATGGTGTAAATAGTAAATACAGCCTATCTACCAATTGGATCAAATATAAAATTCAGCCGAATTAGCGTTGATACTGCGAGGAGACGTATTGTGTGAAAAGAAATGTAAGATGTTGTTTAATTGCTGATATATTTATGATCCACGTCACGTTTCTAGGTTTTGGGGGGCGTGTCGCTCCCCCTGGGTTCAAGGGCAGTCGTTTTTTGTGCACCCCAAAACGATAGGACCGAGGTTTTACCACCTTACTCGAGGGTAACTTTAGTCCTGTCGGTCTTTCGAATGTGTAGAAGGCCGCCGTTTTGACTTTTTGAGTAAGAGAAATCTGGAGGGTGAAGCGCGCTAACTTAATGATTGTTCGTGAATATATGATTATTTCCCGACCGAAAGGATTTCG